CCTATGCCTTTGAGTTTTTTAACTTCTGCCTTCATTGCTTTGTATCGTTTAACGTCATAAGATCTTCGTTTCTATCTCACCGGCTTGGTCTTGGGGTCGATACTCAAGCGATGACATATGATATTGGGAGAGATGCCTGGCATGTCCTCGTATGACCAGGAAAAGACCTCAGTGTTTTATTGCAAAAAAGAGATTAATGCCAACCGAATGAGTGGTGACAAGGTGGTGCCAATCTTCACCTTGCGATCTGGATAATTTTTTGAGATAGAAACCTTCTCAAACTCTTCAGCGGGTTGTGCTTGCTGGCTGAAAGAGTCATCTCGAGGATCGTCGGGTTGACTGTTGCCACTATGAAGATCCAAGTTGGCTTCATCTGGGCTGGTCTTTATAACTTGGTCATGTATAGACTGGGAACGGGCATTATCGTGGCGATACCCTTGGTTATCACGACAGTGTCCCTTACTCCTTTTACTAAAATGAGACTGGTGAGGATGAAAATCTTTCCTTTTTCCCTGAGATTGATATGTCTGTTGACTTAGCAAAGTATTAAGTAAGGTAAGGGGAGGCACCGCTGTCGTTTGGAAGGTTGAGGTATTCTCATTTGGGTGGGTCTGGCTTCCACTCCCCACTTGCTGATAGGGGATGGTTGTTGGGGGTTTCTCTTGGTATGTCCTTGTCTCGGCGGAGATATAGTTATATACCTGCGCCATCACCTCAGAGTAAGTCTTCCAAGTGTTGGCATTGATCATGTACTTAAAGAAACAATCACGTAGGCCTGCCGTGAAGGCTTTGAGGGCGGTCTTGTCATCTGCCTCGGCACAACGAGAATACTCATGGCTGAAGCGACCAGCATACATACGTAATGACTCGTCTGGCTTCTGGCGAATAGTGTATAAGTCATCCGCAAAGTGCAAGCGATTGGTCTGGAAAATGTGTTGAAAAACAAACAGTTTTCTCAATTCCTCAAATGAGTCTACCGTCTCAGGTGGAAGACGGCAATACCGGTTTAGAGCTTCGCCAGAGAGGGTAAAGGGGAAGAGAAGACATCGCTCTTCGTCGGTGTGCATCCGGTATGCCATGGTGGACTCAAAGAGGTTAAGGTGTTCAATCAGGTCATTCTTTCCAGTATAGAGTTGTAAGCCAAGCTTCTGCTTTGTCTTTGCTTGGAGGGGGTGTCGAGGATCCTCCTTGTAAGAGGGCCAGGCCTAGGTTGGTCCAATCTGGTATCTCAGCTTGTCGTTCGGCCTTCAACTTGTTTACTTCCTTAAGGAGTTGTAGGACAAGAGGGTCCTGAGTGGAGTTATGTACCACTGGAGCTTTCTTTCGTAAATCTCTATCTTCTCTTGGAAGTTGGAAGGTTTGATCAAGAGCATGTGATTTTTCCCTGGACTCGTCGTAGTGACTTTTAAGGTATGTCCGTCAGAACATCTCTGAGTCCTCTATACCTTCGTGTTTCTCTAGGACTTGTTGCCCCTTCCCCAAATTGGTAGCTAGCCTGAGACATGGGAGGGGACCGAGTCTTTCAGAGACCCTTGGGTCATTGATCTGTCATTGATCTTCGAGCTTACCTAGATGGGATTGTCTCGACATTGCTTTAGGAAGTCTCGACAGTCGCGAAAGACGGCTTTCGATCCTTGCACTCATTTTGTAAGGAGGTGCCTTCCTCCACTCCTCCTGCTTCGGGTCAAAGCAGCTGGGTTGAGAGAAGTCTCATGTTGGTCACCATTTCGATGAGTAGCTCGCTCCTCAATAGGAATACCCATGTCAAGGGCAAATGACCCTCCGTGTTGGGGGCACCCAGTTGATGGTTAACTTCCACAGGGGTGATAAGCTCTTGTGTTTTAGTATATTTAGCCTCGTGGAGCATCTCGAAGACCTTCTCATACTGCTATTGGAGGATCTTATTCTTCATCACTATCTTGTTGTTTTGAGCGTCCAGCTCATCGACTTTAGCCTGAAGAGCAAACTTCTTTTATTCCTTCTTTCGTTGCTTCGCACCAGGTGTAAGAGGGCTGTCATTCTGTGTGCTGTGGCTTCTTTCGCTCCCCGTGTTGGAAAGGGATACTTGGTCAAAAGAGAGTGTACGAATGGTGGAAACCAACTTAACAAAGTTGAAGAGAGTGGAATAAGTATCGTTCCCACAGACGGCGCCAAATGTTGATGAACAAAATCAGTGAGGACTTTGGTACAATAGAAAATGTTAAGTTTGTGACCTTCGCTAGATTGCTCCGGTCACTAGTGTAGATAAGAATGTAAATGGATAGAGATAGGGAAGCAAACACAAGATGTACGTGGTTCACCCAGATTGGCTACGTCCACGGAGTAGAGGCGTTCTCATTAATTGTGAAGGGTTACACAAGTACATAGGTTCAAGCTCTCTTTTTGTGAGTACTAGTGAATGATTTAGTACAAATGACATTAGGAAATATTGTGGGAGAATGATCTCCTTTTATAGAAGAGTTTCTAGCTTTGTTCTGACATTGACATGTGTCGTGTTGTGATTGGCTTCTGATGTTGACACGTGTCGCGCTGTGATTGGCTTTTAATGTCGACACATGTCGCACTTTGATTGGCCTCCTGGTTGGAGGGAAAGTTTTTTGGGTCCTTGACGATATAACGTTGACCGGTGCTCAGTAGTTTCGGGATTGGTCAAATATGATACAAACAACAGAGAAACAAAGCAATGGTGACTACAACCAGAAAGCCAATGCTCGAAAGTCAGCCAAGAAAAAGTAAACACACGGGTCTATATAAATATTGTCATTTGCTAATGCTCGAGAATAAGAAGGACTCGACTTTGTATACCTCAGTCACCATGTCGTTTTTAGTTCTCAATTTTAAATATGTGAAAACAAAAATTGAAAATTAAAAACGAAATAATTATCGAACAATCCCTTAGCTTTTTCTTAGTCTTTGGGCTTTTGGTTTTTGCCAACAAAATTGTGATCATTACATTTAAGGGGGGTAAGGGGAAAAAGAAAGGTGAGCCAAAACCAAGATTCTTCTAAACGAAGAAAATCTAGTTCAAGAAATGGACTAATGAGACCTTTAGATGGCTGTAATGGTGGCGACAATAAAGATCCATGCCCTAAGTTTTTGGTTTTAGGGGTGAATTCGAAAATTCATATTGTGCCAAGTGTTCTAGAATTCAGAAACCATGACAATTGTAGTAGTCAACAATGGTGGCCTATTGAAATTGTTTGTTTCTTAGTTGACTATTACTAAGTATCTCACTCTATTCTTCCTTTCAGGAAACGGAGCAAGTAATATGGAGTATAAATAACATTTCTTTTGTATTTTTACGAATTAAGTTCGTCGTGCATAAAAGTCAACCTAAATTTATTTTTGAACTTTTTGGTTGTAAAATATATTCCAAGAACACTTCGAAATTTGATACAATTTCCTATTATCCAAAAAGAAAAAACACTACCGCAAGACAATTGTTGCTCTAAAACATTATCGCTTACACTCAATGCCCGCTCGATTACCTAATTCTCTCTCACGGATTTATTGGCACTACACTTTTTTTTTTGGCAAGAACGAGTTATGATAGAATATGTCTTGTTTATCTCAACGAAATTGGCAGAATGGTTATTACAATTCCAAAAATATTCACGACTTTCAGTATCTTGTTAATGACTTCTCTTGCATTACCGAGCATGAGCGGTTTTGTTGCCAAATTGTTAGTTTTTTATTAGAATACTTATTAGTAAAAAATATCTTGAAATTTAACACCGTTTTATGTTACCCCAAAAGAAAAAAACATTCACTTTTCCACTCAATGCCCGCTTGATTACCTAAATCTCCGATATCACTTGTCCTAAACGAACAATGTAATTGAAGGAATTTTTCTTTCTGTTTCAGTTACAATTAAAATAAACATGGCATAATAAATTATTTATAATATTTACTAATTAATAAAACACTCATTGTCAACCAAAACCCTATAAAATTACCAATTTAACCTTCTAATTAAAATAGAACATGAATAAGAAATATGGGACAGAAATGTAATTTCACACAACCAAATTTTATTGTTTTTTTTTCAAAGCCTCACTTACATGTAATCCTAACATATCTCTAATTAAAAAACAAAAAAACAAAAAAATACAACTTCCCACTCCCAAATTCTCCATCATTCTCTTCCTCTCTCATTCTATTTCAAAAACAAAAATAAAAAATTTTCTCACACACTTTGCATTTGCTCATATGCTAGTAATAATAAAAAAAACATGGCATAATAAATTATTATTAATAATGTTCTAGAAACCAAGTTAGAGAGGAGCATATGCTTTTCCTCTTTCCAGAGCAAAGCCGCTACTTTACACCACATACTTACATGTACTTACATGACGATCTCACAAAATTCATTACTCTGAACAAAAAGGGTAATGTTGAGGAGATCAAATTTGTAAGCTAAACGACGTGAAAGTTGACGATTAAATTATTACTTAAGAAGTGATAAATGTATTCATTTTCAATTGGTAACACATAATTTAGTTTTATAAATTTAGTTTTCAAATTTAATCTTCTAGCATTACCTGACAAAAAACTAGCTATCATTACAGCATATATATATTATATTTATTTTTCTTTGAAATACAGCTTATATATAATTAATTTATCACTTATATACCAAACTTCCAACCAAACAAGATATTAGTTATTACTACATGGTCCAAGTTGGACGGCTTCAACAACCGTTTTCGTTTGTTACAACAATAACAACTTTAAATTACCAATTTACCCCCATATAGGACGCCTGCCGCAGAGATTCCCTGTCTTCATTGACCCTTGACTTTCAAATCGTCGATACCCCCAGCAGGAAACTTCTTAAAAATGACACAAAGAAAACGTGAAAAATTATAAAATATGAAATAAAAAAAAAAAAAAAGAATTTAGGATTTTTTTTATTTTTTATTTTTTGAAGTTTTACTACCACCCATGGTTGACCACAAAACACAGAGAGAAAGAAGTTGGACCCCTTAAATACCAAACCCCCTCCCCATAACTTCTTCACCAACCAAACTCCACCTCCTTCATAACCTCCACCGCCGCCGCCCTTTTCCACTTTCAGAACCTACCCTTTATTCCTCAGCCCATTTCCGCTTCTGGGTCGTTGAGAAACTAGGTTTTCGAGGCGCAATTCGGGAAGAAAACATGCTCAAGTTCATGCCGCCTGCCGCCGATTCTGTGCTTCCAAGAAACGGGTTTAAGCATACCAAGTTGGAGTCCAACATCGCCACCATAGACGTCGGCGGCCAGCTCTTCCAGACCACCAAGCAAACCCTAAACCTCGCCGGGCCGGACTCGCTCTTCTCCCGGATTGCGGAGTCGGCCTCGGCTCATCTCGCTCCGCCGTTCATTGATCGCGACCCGGAGCTCTTCTCCATCCTCCTCTCGCTTCTTCGAACAGGTAATTTGCCCTCGAAGGCCAAATCCCTAGACATCCAGGACCTAATTTTCGAATCCCAATTTTATGGCATCGAAACGTTTCTGATGAATTCGCTGTCGAACCCATCGCATTTCGATGCTTTTAACCTGGAAAAGTCGTTGATTTTGCCCTTGAACGGCCGAGACTCGCCGTCGGCGATTGCCACGACGCCGTTTGGCTCGGTTCATGTAGCTCACGGCAGCAAAATCACGTCTTTTGATTGGTCGCTGAGGAAAAAGTCGACGATTTTGACCCAATTCACCGCCGTCGATTCTATGCTGGCGATATCGCCGAGGACGGCCGCGGTGGGGGCCACCGACTTCTCTGGGCTCCAGATTCTCGACCTTGAGAATGGGTTTGTTAAGGAGACTCTGAATTGGGAGAATGTGACTCGGTCCGGGTCAACAGTACAAGCAATCGGGTCGTCGCCTGAGTTTCTCTTCACTAGTTTCGAATCCGCTCGGAGGAACTCGAATTCAATAATGATATATGATCTGAATAGCTTGAGCCCTGTTAATGAGATTGGTCATTACGAAATTTATGGTGCAGAGATTAACTCAGCAATACCGGCCACGAAACTGAATTGGGTTTCGGGCTACGGTCTGTTGATGGCGTCCGGGTCTCACAGTGGACCTTCAGGAGTTTTGGGTAACATTAAATTTTGGGATACAAGGTCTGGCAATGTAGTTTGGGAAATACAAGAGAAAGTGGATTGCTTTTCGGATGTCACAGTTTCGGATAACTTGTCATCAATATTCAAGATTGGTGTGAATACAGGCGGGATGTTCTTTGCGGATTTGAGAAGTATGGGTGCGGAGAATCCATGGGTTTCTCTTGGGGAAGCGAAGAAAGTAGTTAACGGGAAGAAGGAAGGTTCCGGGTGCAAGATTGAAAGCCATGGAAGCCAAGTATTTTGTAGCACGGGAGGGAATGTAGAGCTATGGTCAGAGGTTGTGGTGGGTTCTAAGAAGAGCAGTAAAAATGGGACGGAGGAGGAAAGGCTCTTTAGGAAGAATTTAATGGGGAGAATGAAGGATATGGGAGGTTCGAGGATAACGAACATGGCTTTCGGGGGGAACAAGATGTTCATGACCAGGAAGGATCAGCAAACTGTTGAGGTCTGGCAGAATTCAGCTAGAGGTTTTTGATCCCAATTGAATTAGGGGATGATATTATTGATAAAAAAAAACATCCAGAATGAGTCACATTTTGTTGTAACATTATTTTGTAGCTCGATTTGTCTGTAAATGGTCTTGTAGCTTGTGAAGTATGTCATTCTTTTGCTGTGCTAATTAGCAAGTTTACCAATTCTTTTATAAATCATTTTATTCAAGGAATTTAATGAGTTCAAATTATATCATTGATGTTTGCAACAGTTGTTTAGTATTTACCCCTTTCTTTGTTTCCTTGCACTGAACCTTCATTGACAAGTTTCAGTTTCTTTCTACATTTTTTATGATCATGACCTGCAGCCGGAGGGAATACAGTCCGCGGAGATTATGATATTATCGGATTCTGATGTGCTTAGCTTGTGACTCTGTTTTCATGTCTGTAATATTTTGTATAAAGGTTTAAGTAGAGAATGTCCTTGTTCCTTCTGATTGGGCTATTCACAGATGTTTAAACATTTATCTGACCATTATTTGTGTCCTCTTAGCTGTTTCCTTCGTATCCTTGTTCCTTCTGATTGGGCTATTCACAGATGTTTAAACATTTATCTGACCATTATGTGTGTCCTCTTAGCTGTTTCCTTCTTATTGAAATACTTCTTATGTCTACAAATGTAGTCCTCACCAGGCTGATCGGCGTGTTATTTTTCTGATACTGAAGCGTCGATTCTATAATACGCATGTCAGCTTCTGACTATGCCTATCTGCAAACATGTGGTATTTTAAACAGAAAGACACTGTTTACAGGAATTTTGGAAAGGTTTAGGATGAAAATATGGTTTTGGTTTCCAGTGTTGTGGTTTGACCTTTTAATTTCTCAACGGTTTTGTTCTCTAGCTCTATTCTTTGTCTTATAATTCAAACTAGCTTGTTTAATTGCTTGGTAAAGGATGTGTTACAAGGTGTCAAAAACGAAGAAGGTAAGTTGCTTAAAGGAAAAATAAGGTCTCTTCCACCAACCTTACAAGCTTCAAATTTGGAGCCTCGATGCAAGGGAACTGGTTGAAGGGAGAAAGGGCGATGCAGGAGGCACCACAGTTGCAGCATATCAGGTAGATTTTCTCGTAGTATTGTTTTTGCATTTTGCTTTGGGCGTGCCACTTCCCGATTAAGAGGCACCTGGAGCAGTTGCTCACATTATAAACACTCTTGATGTTGTGCAACACGGCAAAACGGCAAAACGGCAAGACGTGATGGTTTGGATGAAACCCAATGAGAAAATTGAATGTATTTAGATAGTACACATTCTGGTTGAACATTGCTGTCAAAATTCAGGGAAACTAGAGAATTCAAACATCTCCCCTGCTAATTGCTGCTTGTGTACCAGCGTAGCAATATCAGCATGATGTGATTCTGCGGCACTAATTAAGGGTTTTGATGCATGAGGTATGCCGTAATTATTTGCTTCATAACAACGTTCCTATGCAGATTTCGTTTTTCTCCATGCTGCTTCTTTCTTTAACTGAGTTCCTAATCTTCAAGTCATTCTGGTTTATCAAACTACTGTTTCAAGACCGAAAGCCCAATCCTTAAACACAAAACAATTGTACTGTGGTTGTTCATAGCCAGATTTGCTGTCGCGGAGCTGAAGGTTCTAGAGGTGACTGGGTTAGAAGGAAAACACAAACATAAGTAGTTATTGAAGAAAGTTGAGGTTCCACCATAAAACCAATTGACAATATGAGGAGCAGCCCAACATCTTATAAGCCCATGCAAAGTCTCTCTTCCTATCAATCTGAGACTCATTCTCGCCAAAGGTCCTGCTTCTAGTTGTTTGTAGAGGGCCTGCATATGTGTGCTGCTCACTTCGTGTTATTATCTTGAACTCTTGATTCTTGCATCTCATTATATAATCTTGAGTGAATCTACTGGGTGACGCACATACGTGTCACCTCACTCTTAGGAATCTATACTCTTTGGGATACAATCAACGTCGATGACCTTGTTTTGTGATTTAAATTATTGGTTTGTCATGTGTGTGCAAAAAACAGCAGAATTTGCTTGATGCATAAGAATATTGGAAGCGTCCTTAGACACCGGTTAGCAGTTACGATATATGCGATGCTGATCATTTTATCCAAGGATCACTCAAGTAAATTAGAGACCTTTGGCCATCCAGAACATGTGCAAGGATCCCACATCGGTTAACTCCGAAGATTTTGGTTCAGGTAAGAATATGTGCAAGACACTTTGTTGTATTCAGAATTCGAGAGCTCGATTTTTATCAGAATTCCAGCTTTGTGGATTCAAGTGTCAATACCTTCTTTCTTGTATTCAGAACTTAAGCTGTGATCTTCTTCCTGCTCTTTCGCCACCCGATTTGCCGGCCTTTAATATTCCGGCTTTGGTGAAACGGACTTTCATCATCGTTGTTATGCAGTTCCGCATGCTTTTTTGCAGACCAGATTTTTATGAGCTCAAACATGATGGGGTACTCAACAGCTATAGACTATAAACCGCACATGCCAACATGCTGTGAGTCTTTATTAAACCTTATATTCTCCGAAGGTAAATTTCTGGTTGCGTCCCTGATTGTGACTCGACTCGTAATAATTCTATTTCCGGTTGTTTATTTGAGCGATACAAATTTTTTCTTGTTATAGCTTTTTCACGAGAAGAGGTCGCACTTGGTGCGATGGCAAGTGCATTCGCCCATGAGCGGTAAGTCTCGGGTTCGAGACTTGGGAGCAGCCTCTCCATAAATGGGGGTAAGGCTAGCCGACATTCACCTCTCCCAGACCCTGCGTAAAGCGGGAGCCTTGTGCACTGGGTACGACCTTTTATAGCTTTTTCACGAGAGAATGAAAAAGAATGCTGATTGCCTTGCTCACTTTCTGCATCTCCCGTCTATTAGGAATATATGATACACACATGGTTAATCGAGATGGTACAAAATAACATTATTTTCAAATTTAGAGAGATGATATCGTAGATGGTAAATTGAGATGGTACAAATAGTAGCACAAATAAAAATATTCTAGTATTGAATATGGAGTGAAAGCTCTAATATTGGAGTTACAAACCCTCAATTCTGAGAGAGCAATTTAATTTACATAAAACAAGTTTACTGATAATGATTTCCCCGTCCTGCCCTGTGGATAATGGTTAGATGGCATTGCGCATTGGCTCCACATCGTAGCTGCCAGCTCGCCAGACCCCACGTTCAATATTGCATGTGGTTAAATAAAAGACCCAATGCAAGGTTATACTATGGAATTGGAGGGGGATGTTAAATTAATTCAGAGATTTTCTGATAAATTTTTCAATTTTTTTTTTCTCCATGTGCAAGACTAGAATATTCCAAATTTGACAGTGCTGCTATTTGTACTATCTCAACTGACTATTTAGTGTACCACCTCTTTGTTTTTTTTTGTTATGAAAGTTTTCCATGTAGTGGAGCCATTTAGTTTTGTTCACAGGTTCACACATTATTGATTGCTGCTATGAGAGAAAATAAAGAGGGCTGCTATTTACATACTTTTTTTTATTTTCTATACACACACTGTTAATTTATGTCTTTTAATCATTTTCAATTTATTCGATCCGAAATCAATTGAGAAATGTGTGTAAAAGGTCAAAAAGGGTGTGTGGCATCACCCAAAATAAAAAGAGAAATCTTTAATTTCTTGGATGATTTATTTATTAAGGTAAAACTAAAATAACTATCTCATTAGAGAATTTTTAATACTACAACTTAAACATGAACAAACATCGAAAGCACGTGCCATTGGTGCCAAAGGGGCAACAAAGTTAACATGCTTTGGCAATTTTTTTTTAATTAAATGATAAATTTTGTTAGATCAGATGTTAGATTAGCCATTAACGGAGTTTGAATCCACACCGTCATACAAAGACTCAACACATTTTCACCACTGTGGTAGTGATGCAGCAAGAAGATAAACAAAGGGATCCTCACGTTCACCCTTAATCATTCATTTGGAATCCACCAGAAAAGTGAGAGAATTATCAAATACTATATTGATTAATCTGGAATACAAAAGATGAAACTTAGAGCAACACTAACATTGCCTATTTATTCTACTTGTAACAGCATATAGTTGGAACTTTTGTGATTCTGTGGGACTGGGAGTCCCACATCGCCCATTTCCTAAAATTAAGACATCTTTATAAGTGTGTTTTCACACTTTTGGTTTGAAAAGAATTGGGCTAAGTTCATGGACCTTGGGCTTTAGCCTTGGAGGGTTTGGGTGTATATGTTAAATGTCAAAGATGGGCTTTGGGCCTTGAGGCTCGGATGGACGAAAACAAAAGTTATGTTTTTGATTTTTTGGATTCAGTTTTTTTCTGAAAAGATAAAACTGATTGAACAGTTATGTCAGTTTTATAACTAATAAGAATGAACAGTTATGTCTGTTCAAGTTATGCCATTATATATATGGCAATAAGATCAAAAACAAAACACAGAATTTCCAACGTTTCCTTTTTCTTCTTACACAGAGAAACATTCAATCAATTCGCCAAGAATCCAAGTTCGAGTGCAAGAACTTGGATTAGATAGTTGTATCCTGCAAGATAGACGTCCACTAAACTACTACACGGGTGTAGGGGTGAATTTCTGTCTTAGGAGATTGCATTAGTAAGCCTTTATCTTCAAGAACAAGTCAGTGATTTGTGATTTTATATGCAATTTACTTAAGTGTTTATACTTTGATATTTGTTATTGAATTTTTCATTAGAAATAAACTGTGCAAATTATATATATTGTATCCGTGACATTTGATTGGTTTCTAACACATATTAATTATACATATTGAATGCTATTTAAATCATAGCATGTAATTCATGACCTATTGGTCTTCTCCTTACGCCTATCAAGCTGTGCTTCAAATTCCTTCACTAAATGTTCTACGTCAGACTCCTCCACTTCAGAAGAACTCGGCCCCGAGTTATCTTTAGGATAGAGCGCTTCATCTTCATGGTATTCAAACAAATCTGCAACATTAAAAGTGCTCGAAATTCCCATAGATACGGGCAGGTCAACAACATAAGCATTGTCATTGGTCTTCTTCAAAATTTTATACAGTCCGTACTTGCGCTGTTTCAAAAGAAGTGTAGGAAATTTTGAGAAAGTTTGAAGATTTGATTTCTAAAGATTTACAATAATAACTTCCTCCTATGCGAGGTATTAAGCATCAGATTGATTTAGTCCCTGGAGTAAGCCTTCCAAATCTACCCCAT